CTGCCCTCTGTAGCTCAGTTGATTAGAGCTTGACAACTGTCTCTCTGTAGCTCAGTTGGTTAGAGTTCGACAACTGCCCTCTGTAGCTCAGTTGATTAGAGCTCGACAACTGTCTCTCTGTAGCTCAGTTGGTTAGAGCTCGACAACTGGCCTCTGTAGTTCAGTTGATTAGAGCTTGACAACTGTCTCTCTGTAGCTCAGTTGGTTAGAGCTCGACAACTGGCCTCTGTAGTTCAGTTGGTTAGAGCTTGACAACTGTCTCTCTGTAGCTCAGTTGGTTAGAGTTCGACAACTGCCCTCTGTAGTTCAGTTGATTAGAGCTTGACAACTGTCTCTCTGTAGCTCAGTTGGTTAGAGCTCGACAACTGCCCTCTGTAGTTCAGTTGATTAGAGCTTGACAACTGTCTCTCTGTAGTTCAGTTGGTTAGAGCTTGACAACTGCCCTCTGTAGCTCAGTTGATTAGAGCTTGACAACTGTCTCTCTGTAGCTCAGTTGGTTAGAGTTCGACAACTGCCCTCTGTAGCTCAGTTGATTAGAGCTCGACAACTGTCTCTCTGTAGCTCAGTTGGTTAGAGCTTGACAACTGTCTCTCTGCAGCTCAGTTGGTTAGAGCTTGACAACTGTCTCTCTGTAGCTCAGTTGGTTAGAGCTTGACAACTGTCTCTCTGCAGCTCAGTTGGTTAGAGCTTGACAACTGGCCTATGCAGTTCAGTTGGTTAGAATGCTGTACCGGAATCGCAGGGCCGCAGGTTCGATTCCTGCCAGAGGACCTAAAGTTGCATTTCACGACTGCTCCTGGTAAATTTGATAACTATATAAAAATTCACACTCTACAAAACCATCTTTTACTGGATTTCTTATGGACCACTTTCATAAATAGAGATGGGTTTAAATATTCTTTTTATGTACATTTTAATAAGGTCTTAACCTAGTTTTTGAGACCGAAAAAGTTTCTACGAGAATTTTTCTGCTTGTAGGTCCATTAAGGGTCATCCCATTTTGACCCAGTGTTTCCACAGCAGAAAACCCAAACGATTTAACTAAATATATTTGTGTTAGATAGCTCTATCAGTTTTAAAGTGTGCAATCAATCTACTGTAACTTACAGGAAAAGTATACCAATGCTTTTCTAAGTTAATTTACAGTTTAATTACAGGAGAAATGTCACCTCCACACAACAGCTCACCTGGGCTTTCCTGTCAGCTGACAAACCCTGGACATATGTCCTAACCATTGTACGCGTGTGTAAGACATGAAGCAGCTCTGACGCCTGAAACAGAATAGAATTGAACATTAAGAAATTTAAAATGCTTTATTTCTTGTCTCGATAGACAAAGCCCAGAGTTCAGCTTGTTGTTTCGTGTCCACTCAAGGAAATGCATGCACTATGTATTTAGGTTATGTTTACACTGTATACCAGATAGCTTTCCGTAGCGACGTGAACAAACACCTATCTGTATTTTTTAGGAACGTTATTTTCAGAGGAATTATTGCAAAAGAGCGATGTTGTTGTACATTCGAATCGGATGGGTGCATTCTCGCTCCGCTACGGAAAGCTATGTGGTATAGTGTCAACGTAGTCTTATTCTCAATTCACCTCTTTGACAGCGGGAGGTGGAGCGAGCCATGATTTATCCAAGACGTTCTTTGGTAGGTTTCTACCCAGTTCACCAAGATACCATTTTCTGGTACAACATATGAACTGTGAAAACAAAATTAAATTAGGAATTGTATGTTGGTAAGGCAAGGTATGGTATGGTGTTATATGCATGGTATGCTATGCTATGCTATGCTATTGGATGGTACGGCGTCGCATGGTGTAGTATGGTATGGTATGGTACAGTATGGTATGGTATGGTATGGTATAGTATGGTATATGGTATGGTATGGTATTATGGTACGGTACGGTATGGTATGGTATGGTATGGTACATGTATGGTACAGTATGGTATGGTACAGTATGGTATGGAATGGTATGGTACACTATGGTATGCTTGGTATAGTTTAATGTGGTACAGTATAGTATGGTATGGTACGGTACAATATGGTATGGCATGCTTCGTATAGTTAGATGTGGTACAGTATAGTATGATATGGTGTTATGTTGTGGCATCGTATAGTATACTATAGTATAGTATGGTATGGTGTAGTGTGGTATGGTTTGTATGTATGGTACAGCACGGTATGATATATTATGGTGCAGGAAGGTATAGTATAAAATGTATTGGCTTGCATCATATCTTATCATATCGTAACGCATGGTATAGAAAGGTATATAATAATCTGAAATGTTATAACATTGCCGTATTTCTTAACAAGAAGTTCAAAAACACACCCAAGCATTTTCTTCATTTGCAGGTTCATTTCGCGTCATGAAACCTTTAATAAACCTACAATAAAGCAAAGAAAATATCACAATGGATGATTCCAGCTAAGACGAAATCTTGATCTGGACAAGAAGAACGAAACCATTACCATAGCTGAAAAGAGCATCTTAAAATGAGTATAATTGCAATGTTTGGTTGCAAATTGTTGTAAAATGAGGAAAGTATAGCCCAGGAAAGTATAGCCCAGGAAAGTATAGCCAAATTTTGTGTATATATGCATTACGCGCGGGAAATATAACCATCTTTTAGCCGAAACTTCACAGGGCTATATTTTCTTCATTTTACAACATTTAGCAACCAATCTTTGCAGTTTTACTTATTCTAAGACGCTCTGCTCTTTCTAGCTGTGGTGTTGGATTTCATTCTTTTTGCCTTGATCAAAATTTAGTAATGCATAGGAGCCGCGCCCCTCTCCCAGAGTAACCGTCACTGCTGTCAGTATGACACTAACATCAATACTCTTCTCACTTTACAAATAAACGTACTTTCTGATGGCAGTTGCAGCTCTCTTTCTTCTCTCTCTCAGTTTCTGGGCACACAACCTGCGCCAATGTGCAGCTATGACTGTCACAGCCATTCTGATCATTAGATAACGTTTCTTCGCAGTGAACCCACGGTAACGAGTCTGGATCACCGTCGCTATACAAGAGATAAACAACGCGCCCTTTGCATAAATTTCACAAGAAAAGATTTAACGAACTATAGAGATCACATCGAGACTGCATACTTCAGCGAATTAAGTTATGCATCATGCATAAATTATACAATAGACTAATTACGTATTCAGTTTACTCTGCCCGCCATAGTAAGAGAAACCTTTGCTCATTTCTCATTCAATTTACATCCAAATTTAACCAAAATTGAATCAATTTGTCCTCGGGGAATGTCCATTTCTCTCACGAATATTTGTATTAAGATGCAGTTTTTTTCCCAGTATATCGCGTATTTGCGATGAAAAGTGTTCAAAAGTCAAAACCTAAAATCCTTTTGGCGTTTCTCTCAAAATTACTTTGTTTTAGCTTTATTTTGTAGTTTACACAGTTAGCAAACTTTTTAAATGTATCTGGCGGTCGAGAAACACAAAATAATAGTTAAATATTGTCAATTTAAATACAATTATCACTAATACTTACCTAAGTAGTGTTTCTTGTGCTGAAACTGGTCTTCAGTGGCGAACAACGTTTGTGGATTTCGAATGAAGATTTTCGTCCTGTGGTAAAAAAAAAAATTAGAGCATGTAAAGCTGTACATGTGTCTCAAAAGCGTGGGTTTCAACTTTCCAGAGCTTTCCCTGGAAATCGAAAACCATGACAAAACGAACCCAAAGCACTGTATCATAAATAAAAAAAAGAAGTATCATTGGTCTCTTACCTTCCCATCTTATATTCATCCGGTTTGTATCCAAGATGCTCACATAGCTTTAACACGCCATCCTGTGGACTCCCTGTTAAAATAAACGAAATAAAATTATTTAAACACGGGCTAGCTCTGTCATGGCTTAGTGATGCAGAATTACTACATGCAGATGGGACCCGAATACCCGAGGAAATTAAACCTGTGATGTTTGGTAGACATGGTCGCAACAGACTTATGGCAAGCTTGTGAACAAGTTGTAACAATGTTGTTATTTGCTCAAGTTGCTACAAGGTTGTCACTCACAACTTGCTGACAAATTGTTCAATTGCAGGATGATAACAAGTTGTTAGAACAACTTGTATGTAACAAGTCTGTTGAGCTCAACAACCTCGTAGCAACTTAAAGCATGGTCGTTCACTGCAACCAGGTACAGTATATCAATCATGTTTCGCTCGCTACTCTGGTTTAAATAAATGATTACAAAGCCCAGTCGAATTGTAACCAAGACCCAACGTTTCGACATCTAAAATTGCAATCGTGGCTTCTTATATACCCAAACGATGAAAGTCGTCAAGCTGTTGACAACTTGTCAACAAGCTGTGAACAAGCAGTGCGAATACATCCTGCTGACAAGTTGTTCAAACAGCATTGCTTACAAGTCTGTTGCAGGTTTGTTACATGTACAACTTGTGCGTTTTTGCGTGACTGTGTACTGAGCCACCCCACTCTCCTCCCAGTGGTGAGATTAAGAGCCTGTATAAAAAGGCCAGGCTAAAAAGATTCTACATACCATGCCAAAGCGGCCATGTATCAGGACACAACGCCTTATATCTTAATGAAAAGAAAATGTAAATGAGTACAACTTCTCTGCAATACTCCTCTGTAATAAACAAGTTAAACGCTTTAATGCTTGAAGAGTCTGAGAAAAACATGCCTGTACATTTATTGGAGGACGCTAGTCATTGAATGAAGCTTAGTCTATGCTAACGCAGCCATCAATTCCAGGCTTAGATAACTTACCTTTCTAAGAAGACTTTATGATTTCTTCTATAAGCAAAACCAGCCCGTCGAACTCTCAGATTTTCCATTAATCCCAAATATTTCACTTGATGATTAATCAATTTCTCGTCAAAATCAGCTGAAAGAATATATCAAAATAGTTAGATACACTCTGCTAATCAAAATGTAATATATCAGTTACTCAATCTCAACCTCAATTTTAATCTTAATTTTAATGAAAAATATGAAACTTGTTTAAAAATAAAACGCGAACTACTTCAGGAATTTCAAGATAATTAAGTGCAAGTTTTTGTTCATCAGTATGTTGCTGTTGTTGCTGTTGTTGCTGTTGCGGTTGTTGTTGCTGCTGTTGTCGTTGTCGTTGTTGTTCCTGTTGTTGTTCCTGTTGTTGTTCCTGTTGTTGTTCCTGTTGCTGTTCCTGTTGTTGTTCCTGTTGTTGTTCCTGTTGTTGTCGTTGTCGTTGTCGTTGTTGTTGTTGTTGCTGCTGCTGTTGCTGGTGTTATCGTCGTACAGTAGTTGTTGCCGTTACTGCTGTTGTTGTTGCCATTGTTGTTGTTATTGCTGTTGTTGTTGCTGTTTTCAAGGTGTTGTCCATTTTCGCTTCACACAAACTTACCCGGACGTTTGAAGTCATTTGGCTTAATACAACGGACATATGACGGCTGTTTTGACAGTAGAATGGCCATGAGATTATTCAAACTTGTTTTAAACTGAGTTGCAGCCTATAGAAAAGAGAGTGAAAAAAATCAATTTATTGAAATACATTATGTTTTCAGTTTCTCACTTATTGGTGAGCGGATTTCCCAACAGGCTATTGCCCAATTGACAGGGGATCCGAGGAACCTACGATTTAACGTCCTTATCCGAGAAGACGCGAAAGTCTAACCATTTCCTGATGTCAATGTAAAGGTAGCACTTTCTCCTCAAGACCTTGAGTAGAGGTCCGACCAAGCATTGAACCCGGGTCTCCCGGCTTGAAAAGCAAGAGTGGTGACCACAACACCATGTTTGTCGGTCATATATGTACACTACTTGTGCTGGCATATATGTAGAGTGCATTTCACGTTTTCCTTAAATACCTCCCTTTTCAACCGGCCCTCTAACGTGAACATTGCCCAAACTTCGAATGTTTCGAATTTTTCTGAACATAAACTCTATTTCATATTCATTTAGAAGCATAGCGAACCAAAATAGTGTTAGATATTCAGACAGTACATCATATTTTTAAAAATACAGCAGTTCAAAATGTAAACAACCGTTTGTTTACGTTACGGACTTGCCATCCACTTTAAATATACTGTACCAAGAAATAAACTTTTTATTCTAGTGTTATGCTTACGGTGCCAGGACGTTTCTTGCACGCCATTTCACTCTGAGGGAAAGCGCTTGATGCGATGCTATTCTTGCTGAGAGACATTGCCTATACAATATGATAATTAGCAAAAAAATAAGATGTTGTACTCCACAACTTTCTAGATACGATGCATGGATACAGCTTAACATAGCAATTACTACATCAAGTATAACCTGTCAGTAAAAAGTACCTCTTTTAAATCTCTGTAGAGAGGATCATTATTCTTGTCAATAAAACCTGAAAGATAATGAAAAATGTTTGTTTATATATACTGGATTGCTGTATCAGTTCTAAAAATCCAGTAAGAATCAACTCTTATTAATCCAGTGTTATACAGGAAGAAACCTAAACTAAACTATCTTTATTCATACTGGATAGCTCTATCAGTTTTAAACTGTTCTTCCTAGAAGTCCAGTACGAATCATCTGTTATTGATCCAGTGTTACTACAGGAAGAAACCTAAACTAAACTATCTTTATTCATACTGGATATAGCTCAATCAATTCTAAACTGTTCTTCCTAGAAGTCCAGTACGAATCATTTGTTATTGATCCAGTGTTACTACAGGAAGGACCCTAAACTGAACTTACAGTAATTTATTTGTGTTGGATTGTTCTATCAGTTCAAAACTGTTCTCTTTATAGAGGTCCAATTAAGGCATTCCACTGTTACTATAAAAGGAGACCGTAATACCTGTGAAAACCTCCGGTACTGTTAATTGCTAAACTTACCTAACACACTGTAGGTCACATCTCCAGCATAATGCTTCAAACGGAATTCCTGATATAAACATAAACATCTCTTTAACATTCCTCTCATGTTACTACCTGTACCACTCTCATTAATATATCAGACACAAGAAGAACTAAAACAATGGGCTATTCACTACAAGAGAACATGCAGGTATCAATCAATTTTGTATCAAGAAATCAGTGCCCTTATAGCATAATATGTAGACTTCTATAATTTTGACCAATCAGCTGATACAATTCAATGGTCTTAACCAATGATATAGCGTGTAGTATTGGTACATTGGCTTACCTCTCGACCTATTTCTTTCCTGCCTTCGTAATCTGACATCTCATGGCTAAACAAGAAAAGTTTGAAACTTTTTTCAAATATACGTCTCACTATAACAACTTGTTCCAGACTTGTCAACAACTGGGAACAAGCAGTGCGAACATATCTTGTTGACAAGCTGTGAGATTTTTTTAGGCGTGTATCAGACTTACCATACAAAATGTTCATGTTTACCAATGGACGTGATTAATTTCGATAAAAATGTCATGTCAGAAACATCACCAGGCCTCAAGCATTCGTCATCCTACCGAGGAGAAAATAGTTTTAAAAGCTGACCGAAAAAAATATCGCTTGATTGATTAATTATTAACTACAATGTTCCATTCATTCATTGATTTTTTCATTTAAAGGTCAATTGATTTATGCTCATAATCTTATTGGCCTCGGGAGGAAATCTAATTATACGTAATCAATTAACTAACTTTATTTATACTGGATAGCTCATATCGTCCTCTCTATGGAGGTCCAGTAAAGGTTATCCTTTATTACACTCAACCAATGACCATTACAATTGATTGGCTATTATATAATACCTTATTGAATTCAGATCGTTTAATTGGCTGTTTATAGTCACGTGATATTGAATAGAAAATTCCATTTCCCAAGAGTGCAATGGAAGACGTTCCATTGCACTCTCTGCGAGTGCATTGGAATAAAACGTATAGTACAATTGCACTCTTTGTGTTTTCGATAAGTCGCATCCCTCAAAATGCTTCTCATACGAATCTATTAGTCTATTTTGGTATTATATAAAAGAAATAATGAATGTTTTTTCGTGCAATGGTAAGAATATTTTCATTCGGTGAAAGATGGAATGTTCCATTCAACTCGGCTGTCGCCTCGTTGAATCGAACATTCCATCTTTCACCTCATGAAAATATTCTTACCATTGCACTCATAAACATTCATTATTTGTATACTCAACCATGGAATATTACGTAATGGTCCGAACATTACGGTTTAGAAGAAAGATGGCGGAAAATTTTGTTTTGCAAATTTGTTGGAAATTCTTTCCCCGAAGAACAACAAAGACTACAAAATATGATCCAAAGACGTTTAGTGGTATAAGGAGCAAAATTTAAACCTTATTTTAACATCAAAAACTGCTGTTACTTGGCACAACATGTGACAAGAAGACAAACGGAATTGCAGGAAATTACTTAAACAAATTTTTTTATGTCGGATAGCTTCGTCAGTTGAAACCAGTTTTTACCACGGCTATGTATACTACTAGAGGAAGACCCCGTGAGTGCGTTATGTACAGTATTGCAAGGTTCCTCTATAAGTGTATTTGCTCAAAATGCAATTTAAATCTGCAATCATTAATTGATAAAATGAATCTTACCAAAACTGCAATTATCCCTTTGTGTTTTTCTTCAATCAAATCACAAATAACCTTGTTATTGAAGTACTCAACCGGTTCCCACTAGAAAATAATATTAACTATACAAGTTATATTCATATCAAATTCATACCAGCATTGAGTAACGGCTTCAAGCTAAATGAAGAGCGGAGAGCAACAGTTTATAAACTAGAGGGCTATCAGACTTCAAGCTTAATGAAGGGCAGAGAGATCCTGGATGTCTACATATTGTAGTGAGTGCTGGTTGCCTTGTTTTAACTATGTAAAATCATTATTAAATAAATGTTTCCATTTCAATTATCACAAACCTCAATGCCTTCCCTCATATATTCCTCTTGTTCAGATTTCAATGTCAGCTCAATGAACAGTTGCTGGAGTTTCTCGTTGCAATAGTTGATGCAAAATTGTTCAAAACTACAGAAAGAAAAAAAACACATTGTTAACCTTTAACTATAGATCAGAAGCTTCTTTATATCACAGATCGTTTGCAGGACCGTTACTATAGGGCTGCCAGGGGATCTAAAGTTGCATTTTTCGCTTCTGTTCCTGGTTTAATAAATGTATATAAATTTCTATTCAATAATTTCCATCTACAATACCCTTCAACCAAGCTAATAAGCAGAGAGAGGTGTATTGTACTACAGCACTGTAGATATTATTACCCATTTTCGTCGAAAATTTCAAAACCATAGATATCCAAAATACCAAGCAAGGACGTCTTTCCCAAATATTTCTAAAACAACATATTAAATAAGATTAATTGTTGACACTACCCGATCATGGAAGTGCAGATGTGGATTGTCAAATATTCCGAACCATTTGTTTCTGGAAATTTCATTCCTCGAACCCTCCCTTTGGGATAAAATCTTTTTTATTCGATCGATAGACGATATTTGATCACAAGTTGTAACAAACTTGCAGCAGATTTGTAGAGCAATGCTGTTTCAACAACTTGTCAACAGAATGTGTTCACACTGCTTGTTCCCAGCTTGTTGTCAAATTGTCAACGGCTTGTTGACAACTTGCTACAAGGTTGAACCGACTTGTTACTGTACAAGTCGTTCCAACAAATTGCTATCGTCCTGCAATTCAACAATGTGTCAACAACCATGTAGCAACTTGATAAAATAACAGCACTGTTACAACTTGTTGACAAGCTTGCTACAAGCCTGTTGCGAACACATCATGTTGACAAGTTATGAGTGACAACCTTGTAGCAACTTGATAAAATAACAGCATTGTTACAACTTGTTGACAAGCTTGCTACAAGCCTGCTGCGAACACATCTTGTTGACAAGTTATGAGTGACAACCTTGAAGCGACTTGATAAAATAACAGCATTGTTACAACTTGTTGACAAGCTTGCTACAAGACTGTTGCGAACACATCTTGTTGACAAGTTGTGAGTGACAACCTTGCAGCGACTTGATAAAATAACAGCATTGTTACAACTTGTTGACAAGCTTGCTACAAGCCTGCTGCGAACACATCTTGCTGACAAGTTATGAGTGACAACCTTGCAGCAACTTGATAAAATAACAGCATTGTTACAACTTGTTGACAAGCTTGCTACAAGCCTGCTGCGAACACATCTTGTTGACAAGTTGTGAGTGACAACCTTGCAGCGACTTGATAAAATAACAGCATTGTTACAACTTGTTGACAAGCTTGCTACAAGCCTGCTGCGAACACATCTTGTTGACAAGTTGTGAGTGACAACCTTGTAGCGACTTGATAAAATAACAGCATTGTTACAACTTGTTGACAAGCTTGCTACAAGCCTGTTGCGAACACATCTTGTTGACAAGTTATGAGTGACAAGCTTGTAGCGACTTTATAAAATAACAGCACTGTCACAACTTATTGCTAAACTTGCTACAGTACAAGCCTGTTGCGAACACATCTTGTTGACAAGTTGTTAGATGTTTACGTGTATGTAAGCTACGCACCTTGCTCTTGAGAGCAGTATTCAAACGTGAGACGAGCCAAGAGAATAACCTTTCGTAAACACCTTTAGAAAGAGCGTCTCTCGCATACGCTGCTTGCTCTAGAGTTAGCAATGTTTTCACCTAAACAACAAAATAAAAATAATATAACTATGCAGGGCTCAAAATAACGGCCGGTCAACGGACAATGACCGGCCAAAAATACCTGTTTGACCGGTCACTTTTTTACATCACCGGTCATTTAGACCGGCCACATTTTCATGCCTTCCAATGTGATTGCTGACGTCTTGAATTAAAACATGAAACTATGATGTGTCGAAACAAGTTTCAAAAAGTTTGTTTCACTGTTAGTGTAAGCGTATCAATAACCGGTCAAAAACAGATTTTGACCGAGCTGAAATCAAGCTGACTGGAGACCTATCTCCTGTTATTTTAAGCCCCGCTATGTGTCTTTTGATTGGCCGGTACATATAGCTTACGGCTAAATATAATATGGAGATCACGCAACCAACATAAAATAATGTGGCCCATTGTGTGCTCAGGGCTTTCCCGATCTATCTTTCGAGAGTGTCAAGTTTCAGCACTTTCCTTGTGATAGTAAGTCTTAGTATAATTTTACGCTTACAGTATTCAGAACTTTTGCATACTGTAACACGTGACAGTACCTTCTCACCCTTGACATCAACAGAGCGATGTCTGAAAGCTTTCTCCAAGGCATCTTCAGGACAGCCAAGCAACTATATAAAAGAAAGTTCGAACAAAAACATGTTTAGACGGAACACAATATATGTAATCTACAATAAACATTAAAGCCTGGTTCACACGATGAAATAAGTATAAGCACAAGCAGCGGAACCTTTGATGTAAGCATAAGAAGAACGCAACATTTGTTCTTCTTATGTTTATGCTTATGCACATCAAAGGTTCCGCTTGCTTATGCTTATGCTTATGCTTATTTCATCGTGTGAACCAGGCTTAAGGAGTGAGTATCATGCCAGTGATCCTTTGGGCGCTTGGCGTCCCAGAAAATGGCTGACTCTTGAGATATTTATAACTGATTTCCAAGATTTAATTTGTATTGGCCCATACATTTATCGGAATCTTATTGAAATACAACTCTATTTGTTTGTGTTACGCAAGGGAAAATGCTATTTTAATAATTAAAATTCTTTTTAATTTGTATTAAGCAAGGTAAAATACACCACATTTGGACCGAAAGTGGTGCATTTTCCCGTGCGTAATACAAATTAATACAACATTTGCAAATTCCGTAGGGCTATACTTTCCCCACTTTACAACATTTCGCAACCAAACATTGCAATTTTACTAATTTTAAGATGCTGTTTCTGACTGTGGTGATGAATGGATGTGGTTTTCTTACCTAGATCAAAATTAAGTCTATAGTTGGAAGTCCATTGTTTGACCTCAACCATTTTGGATGGCAAAAAGGAGCGAGCGATAATGACACTATTGGTACCAAATTACATTTTTGGCACGACATTTTAATAAAATACACGACCATATTAATATTCCCGTTCAATGACCCTCAGGCAATCACAAAACCAAATACCTTAGTGACGATTTCAACATCCTTAGTATCAACCAGACCGACGCCACCGTTATTAGTTTTAAAATCAATATTTCCCACATGAAGAATTGAAGCCACAATGGCGAAGAGATCATTCTGTTCTTCGCTTGTGAAGTCGATCACTTTGAGCGCTTCTTTGACGATCTGAAAACCTTCCTTGTCCGTCAGGTTTTTGATGATAGAGATGTCAGCCTGGTTTTGAAGAAAAATGGTATACATAATTTAGGATTTGGGGCATCTATTTAACAAACAGATAAGATTTTAATTTTTTCTGTTTTGGTGCAATGTACTCAGGTGAATATGATGTTTGTGATGTTACTCTGAGTGTATATCCACGCCGGGCAAGCTTGAAAAATATGCCTGTCCACGGTTGGAATCGAACCTACGACCTTTGGAATACTAGCCCAATGCTCTGCCAACTGAACTACGCGGTCAGGTCGGTTCGAGTATATGACATTTCGGAACCGACTGTAGTTCATTCGATATCAATGTAATCTAATAATCGTACTAATTTTTTCTGTTTTGGTGCAATGTACTCAGGTGAATATGATGCTTGTGATGTTACTCTAGTTGATGATTGTGATGTTACGATAGATAAGATTTTGCCGTTGTCTGGTCAGTTATAGATGCACAGTATGACGTCACAATGTGGGAAGGAACTAACATCTAACCTGATTTAGATATCTATAGTTCGCAGGATCTCGAGTCAACTGTAATCTTTCCAATTCACTCTCATCAGCTCCACGGAGAAGTTGGTAAAATATGTGGAAGTTTTGTTCACCTGAAAATAATAAATACATGCACCTTTAACAATATACAGGGTGTATCAAAATAAACGCAATTCATCTTTTGTGCTTAATAACTTTCGAAATACTATTTCTAGTTAAACGCTTTTAGGCTTACTTCAAAGCCTGTTCTTTTCTCTTTCAAACAAACAATTATCCTTGTCTCCAATGCTAGTAATAATTGCACAGGAAAAGATTTAGTAAAACCTATCATTTTTAGTTGCTGTTCAATTATGCAAGTTTACTATGTTATTGTTTAGTCGGTTTAAATGTTAGAATTTTCTTCTTTAAACTTTAATGTTGTCGTCACTACATCTGGAAAACCACGTAAGAACAAATTAAAAGTATTTTAAAAGAGACCAGGTTGTTTGAAAATCCTAAACGAATGCTAAAAATCGTCAAAACATTCTGGTGTCTGAGCCAGAGTGTCATCGAATTGCGATGTAATGTAAACAGAAATTATAGCAAGTTGATGTCAGTCAGCTTAGATGGTCCAAGCCAAAATTATATCGCATTTGAAGTTTCAAACTGAGTTAAAAATAGTGGAAGAAAAGCCGTAATTATACTTATTGTTACAATCCATTTAATAAAATGCAACATTTGTTTGTTTTAATGAAAAAATCAGTTATTTTCATGAGAACGATTTGTTATTCCATCTCAATTTTTTAATCTCCAATCGCAATAACGTAAAGTATTATTACCCGCGAACCAATGAGTCAAATTTAAGAAACAACCCACTGTTAGAAAGTTGAATGGCTACGCTTTAAAATGAATGTAAACTTTAACGTTTTCGTCTATTATTTGTTTAGCAATTTACATTTCAGTCGAGGATTGCGCTTTTTTTGATACACCCTGTACAGTACAATCTCGGACTGTCTGTGCCAGTGTAGGTACAGTACTGTACATGTGTGCCAATAATACAGTGACGTAAACTGGAGGGTATCCAGAGACGTGGGGCACCCGGCAAAAATGACCATAACATTTTTGCTAGTACATTGGTTAAATTGTCCCGAGCCTCAGTTAAAAGGCCCAAAAATTTGCAAAGGGTGGCCCTGAAAAGTAGGAATTAGTGAAATTCCGAACCATTTTTTAGTAGACATGGATGGGAGAAATTATTTTTGACTACTTTTTTAATTGTAATAGTCCAGAAAAATTTTTTGAACCCCTTTTTTTCAATGAATATGGTTCGAAATTTTTTTTGCACCTTTCAGTTTCTAAGAACGTGGGTTCGACTCTCGCTAGAGAGTCAGTCAACGCTCTGCCGAAAGTCGTGGGTTTTCTCCGGGTGCTCTGGTTTCCTCCCACAGGGAAAGTTGACAGGGTGGGTTAGGATAAACACAGTTAAGAAAGTAATATCACAATAAGGTAAAATTGTCTAGGCTAAGTAATATACAGAATGTTAGGGTTTGTAATCCAGTATATACAGTAAGATAAGTAATATACAGTAAGACTGTTCAAACAGTCTGTTTGTAATCCAGTATATACAGTAAGATAAGACTGTAGTATATATAAGTATATAAGACTGTTCAATAGTATATAAGACTGTTCTAGTATATATAAGACTAGTATATAAGACTAAGTTCTAAGCACTAAGCTCTAAGCTCTACGTACTACGCACTAGCATATAAGACTAAGTTCCAGTATATAAGACCGTTCAAACAGTCTGTTTGTAATCCAGTATATACAGTAAGATAAGTAATATACAGTAAGACTGTTCAAACAAGATTGAAAACTTTTGGCATACCTTTGCACTGATGCACAACACGAGATTTTTCTAACAGGTAGTTTATGATGTGTCCACCAATAGGAGAACCCTGTAACAGAAATATATACGGTTGCTTATATTGCTGTGTACTGAAAAATTGTTATAAAGAAATCTATAATTATACCTTAAAATCAAATTGAATATCCATGTACTTTCCAAAGCGACTGGAATTATCATTTTTGTTCGTCTTAGCATTTCCAAACGCCTGTTCAAAACGCAAAAGACACTTTATACATGAAGTACAGTGGAATATCTGTATTGTGGTATGACGATGACAGTTGCGCTTTTCAAGCAGAAGGCCGATTTAAACGACAAAACTTTTGTCTAAAACTGTTGCATGCAACTTGAAATGTACGCAGGGTGTTAGCCAGAAAGAAAACGTTTTGTCCGTTAAACGTAAATTGGGAAAGTCTTTTTGACCGATCAAAGTCCTTGTGTTGGAATAGATAGTGTTTTTTTCCAACGTGTTTCTCTTAGATGCAAACAATGGTAGCTTGGTTTTTTACATTTCATTTCCGGTGAATGAACACAGATGCACACACCGATTACACTTTGTTTTTTACATTTCATTTCGGTGAATACATACCCAATATGAATGAAACGCGATACATTTTGAGAAAATAGTTAATGGGAAAAAGTAAATAAAACGTTCTTTGATATAATAATATAAAATCAAACGCAATGCACTTTCTCGTCAGAAAAAATGAAAATCTTCCAGTAGACCCAGTTGGGAAAGCCCCTTAGCTATACTTCAATGGACCTTTCACCTTTTGACTAAAATTTAGATTTCAACAAGTCTAGAGAAAAATTTTATCACAGCTTGAAAGAGCATCACAAAATTAGTAATATTCCGAAGTTTCGTTGCGAAATGTTGTAAAATGCGGATAATATAGCCTTGCGAAGTTTGCAATTTTCAGTCATTTTAGATTACAAACGGGAAATACATACCCTTTTTCCGAAGGAGGTATGTATTTCCCGCGCGTAATACAAAATGACTGAAAATGGCATACTTCGCAAGGCTATCTTATCCGCATTTTACAACATTTCGCAACGAAACTTTGGAATATTACTAATTTTGTGATGCTCTTTCAAGCTGTGATAAAATTTTTCTCTAGACTTGTTGAAATCTAAATTGTGGTCAAAAGGTGAAAGGTCCATTGGGAAGAGTCCGTCAAACGGACAGTATATATATGGGCTAGCTAGCTAACACCCTGGTACTATGTAAATCAAACACACAACTCACCTGTACAACAACGTAGCGAGTTGTATGTTGATTTATACACACGCAAAAGTGTACATCTTGTAGCAAGTCTGTCAACAAGTTGTGTTCGCACTGCTTGTCCCAAGTTCTCAACAAGTTTGGAACAAACTGTTAACAACTTGTAACAATTGATATTATCAGACTTGTTGCAAGGTTGTTACAACAAGTCCGATACAGTCAACCTTGTAACCATGCTATTGGCTACCTTAATTGTGACGTCATTCCGTGCGTCTGTCCTCTAATAGATAATGGCTCTCTCGACCAATGAAAGCGCTTAAATTCTTAATGTTATTAATATATAATATACACTTGCCTCTAAAAGTGGGTTAGACTTCAACAGTTTATCTTTGACTCGTCCAACTTCTGAAGAGTAAGGACTGATGGCTGCCAAATATTGAAGAATTTTCTTTGACGCTTCTATAAAATCACACAGCTTGATTGAGCATAATTGTATATACAAAGATTTGAAGGAATATACGAAAGAGAATAATAGATTTACCAGTTTTTCCCGAGCCAGATTCACCGGAGATCAAAACACATTGGTCAATCCGCTCTTCTTTCATTGAATGGTACGCAGCATCTGATATCGCGTAACTGAAATTTTTCAAATGAATCTCTTAAAAAATAATTTTTCGTTCATTTCTGCAGTACAGAATTATGCGAAAGTACTTTTTCATACCTCCGAGCAAGATAACAAAACGGTATTTAAGAATAAGAACTATACTGAATTGAAAATGTACGAAAGTTACACACGTAAAAATGCGCAAGTTGTTACATATCTGCAAAAACAAGTTGTAACAAAGTTGTTGTGAAGCCGATATCAGGATGTGTTCGCACTGCTTGTTCCCAGTTGTTGTGACAAGTCCGGAACAAGTTGTTATCACCTTGTTACAAAATTGATGACGGTAACAGACTTGCTACAAGTTGTTCCAACAAGACCAATATAGGCTGTTCGCAACAAGTTACTACGAGCCTGTCGTCATCAACTGGTTAGCAACTTGTTACGTGCAGACGATACCAGACTTGTTGGAACAACTTGTTGCGAGTCTGTTGACCTCATCAACCTAGCTTGTTACAAGATGATAACAACTTGTTCCACACTTGTCAACAACTGGGAACAAGCAGTGCGAACACATCTTGTTGACAAGTTGTGAGGTTTTTTGTTACGTAAAAACGCACAAGTTGTTACAGGTCTGCATGAAACAACAAGTCAACGAGTTGTCGACAAGTTGTGTTCGCACTGCTTGTTCCCCGTTGTTGTAACACTAAACAAGTTTGGAACAAGCTGTTAACAACCTTCTTCATGGCATTATCAGACTTGTTACAAGGTTGTTCTAACAAGGTTGTTCTAGAATACAGGCGAAGGACATAAATCCTCAAACATTTCCTTATTCGACTGTATATATCGTGCAAGAAAAATAAAGTGTTTCCACTTGTCGTTACATAATTATATTTAATGGAATGTCGGAATATACTGTACCTAGATATGAAAGTCCCTCTTTGTTAGTTTTATCGTGGGAATTAATTGCAATTGTTTTTCCCACCCACCAATTAAGTTAATGACTACATTTTGCATGTAGTGGTGAACATTCCGATATTGAAATCCAAAGATGCCAGTTTGAGTTAAAAAAATTGGGTTTTCTGGGTTTTACATCCGGGTGTAACTAAAATTTGCCCCCATTATATAGCAAGCTTCATTTGATGATTCTAGCTATATAGACTAAATCTTGATTTAGGCAAGAAAAAGAAAATCCATCACTACAGCTAGAAAGAGCATGTTAAAATTAGTAAAATGCAAAGTTTGGTTGCGAAATGTTGTGAAATGCGGAAAATATAGCCCTGCGAAATTTGCAAATGTTGTATTAATTTGTATTACGCACGGGAAAATGCACCACATTTGGGCCGAAAGTGGTGCATTTTCCTGTGCGAAAAAAAATTAATACAAAATTTGCAAATTTCGTAGGGCTATTTCGCAACCAAACTTTGCAATTTTACTAATTTTAACATGCTCTTTCTAGCTGTGGTGATGGATTTTGTTCTTCTTGCCTAGATCAAAATTCAGTCTATAGCTGCATGGAATCATCTATTTGTCCCTATAATTGTCCCTGCAGCAATGCCCGCTTTGTTCTTTTATAATCTCTATGGATCAAGCGGTGTTTATACGTATAGAACCCTTGTATTTGGTGGGAAATATATAAAACCGAGAGCTTAGTTTGAGGGGCTTTTGAAATCAGTTGTCACGTGACATTTACCGAAACACACCAATAAAGACAGCTCAAAGGTCCTCAAAGAATCCGCAGACACTGTCGGCCTGTGGTGTATTTAATTTGTAAAAGTTATTTTGTGTGTATTTAATTTGTAAAAGTTGTAAAAGATGTATTGAAGTCTAACATTTCTGGCCCGGCTAAATTTGTCTGTGCTCAGTTCTGTATGAAAACAGATGAAACGTATATATACTTATACCCTTGGGCCTTGGCATTGTCTCACAAGACAAATTACTGTACTTTGCCTTCGCGCGTATATGTTTAAATTTTCAGGAACATTTATGATATAATTCCTTCATAATTTCTTATAATTATGATAAATCAGTTTAAAAAAGACAATACTCAATAGCAAATCACACGCTACGACGATTAGTCCGGCAGCAATTTATCATCCCCCAATCATTTTAAGTCAGGAAATGTCGGCAATATTACAAAAGGAACATTTTTTGGACAGCGTGAATTTACCGACATGGGAAACGAAAGGCTAAATTTTGCCGACCTGATATTCTGCCAAATCCGAGATCCGGCTACAGCCCACCCCTGCACAGAAAAGCACGTTTTCCCGTAACTGGATAACGACAAGTTTTCCTTCACAAGTTCTATACTGAGCTATACTAATGCCAGCTTTTCAACAGGGAGAACTCGATTCCCGTAGGAATCTTCCGAGCAACCACTATACGGTCTAAATCTCGTTCATTGGCTCTGAAGTGTGATATTGTGGGCAATTTCAGACAATTTTTAATTTTGTTGCAAGCAACTTTGAACAAGAATTGATCGAAAAACCTCCCGTCGGAGTTTTGCTTTATATTTTTAGGCTGTTGTAACTCTTTCGATCTGCAAGCTGTCTGGGCATTCTTCACATAAATATTCGTATGTTAATGTAACATAAAAACCGGGCCAATATTTCAAGTGCCTTTCCCACCCACCCACCCACTAATCGACTTGTGCATTTAATTATAATATGCACTGTATTTTTCTGTCCATATATATATACATTAAGCAGGAAAGCCAGCAATATCAAAGCATTGTACCAATACCTTTTTTGGTTGAAAAAGCTGAATACGTTTTCTTGATTATATTAACTAATACTGGTATTTAAAGAGATGTGAAATTATAAAGCGAAAGTTAAGTCCAATATAGGAAATATAAATAATTTGCTTCGAATTATTCATACGTTTTTTTGAGGATTTAGAATGTTGGTATGTAATTGTCTAAACCACAGGATAGGGGTCTCGAGGTCTAGACATTTGCTAATTATAATAACCATGTCTACTTATTTGTAATGCTTTTTAAAAAGGGGAGATGTGGAATTATTTTAAAAGCACTATATAATTTTTAGTTCCTCACTCATTGGTGAACAGATTTCCCAACAAGCTATTATTGCCCAATTGATAGGGGATCTGAGGTACACCATGGCCATATATAGGATTTTGACATCCCTATCAAAGAAGATGCAAAAGTTTAATGTCAATGCGGTAAAGGTAGCACTTTCTCCTCAATTATTTCAAGACCTTCAGTCAGGACAGGTCTGACCAAGGATTGAACGTAGGTCTCCCAACTTTAATGGGAAGTGTGGTGACCATGACAGTATTGACACCACAAGTGCTGGTGATGTGTGACATTAGTAATGTCTAGCAGCCCCCCCCCCCATGGAGAAGTCCAGCACCACCCTAAAAAAATCAGCTTGACCATACATTTTCTGTTTTTCAAATAGCGATTGGTGGAACTTCTAGTGTTAGCACGTGTCGATTTCTTGAAACAATTTAATTGATTTGTGTGCTCACAAAAAAAGACTCAGAAAGCTTTTAGTTAAATATCATGGTTACTTAATAAACATGTAAACATGTCGAGGTTGTTATACAGCCATATTTTCAAATATTCTGTACTTTAACAAGCAAATTCACGTTACTGTGCTACAGCAACTGTCCAATCAAGCATAACTTATCTAGCCTGCGTAGCAGGCGCTATTTAGGGGGAGAGCGAGGGTGGGAAAAGCTAGGGGGAATGCGAAGGCGAGAGAAAGACAGCGAGGAAAAATGGAAGGGGCGAGAATGAAATAGCTATTTCTTTCTCGCCCCTCCCATTTTTCTTCGCTCTCTTTCTCTCGCCTTTGCATACCCCCCCCCCCCAGCTTCTCCCACCCTCGCCCTCCCCCCTAAATAGCGCAGGCTATAACTTATCAAAAGCCAATACAAACTTTATCAACATAAGATAATGTAAAATATAAAAGAATGAGCAGATGAGCCTAGATCTGCCCCTGATCAAGCAGTAATGCACCCTAATGCACCCCACTTCATCATTTCATTCTGCCTAATGCAATGATCTACCCATATATCCTATTAACCCTTTAAGTGGCATATCTACTCTGTTATTTGATCTGTCTAGCCCCAGATAATTTTTTCTCATCATGGGAAAAGTGTAGCCACTCGATGGGTTAACAAGCAGCCCACTTTACCACAGCAATGTTTTGCTAATTTTAGAAGGGGGGCGCGCTCTTGAAAATCAAATGGGCATGGTCACTTGATTGGGCGTGGCCAATGCCATGAAATTAGGTTTAGGTTTAGTCTAATAGACTTACTTGTCAAAAATATTTAAGACTCTGCTATTTTTGTGCTAGTCTGCTAGTATTTTCTGCAAGTATATCAAGTTTCAGGGAGATTAAAATAGTGACAAAATTACGTTCCGAAGTATTTCCAGGTAGGATGCCGAGCAATTATTGCCAAAAATAACACATATGTAGAACAAATGATTAATAACCAAAATTATTTGGACGGTGTCGAACGGCATTCACTTTACTTCACTGAACCCCATGTTTGATTTCGGCAGGGGGATACCGTTCCCATGGTAAAAAAGGTGGGGTACGGGCATTCCCCCTGGAAAACATCACTTCTTTACAATATTACCCTCTGTCTATAAATACCAATTAAGCATATTAACCTTTTAGAGAGACTGTCAAGCTGTTCAGCGAATGTGCAGTTTGTTGCCGTTTTAAAGACACCATATTCATAAAATATAATGCACTTAGTTAATAATATCTAACATCGTTCTGGTATTTAATATGCTCCTGTCAACATTCGCTTTCATTTAACAAATTAATAATCTTAATACACCCACCCACACACATAATACAGATGATGAGATTATTTATTGAATACCCCTAAGTAGGCATACCGAAAGCTACGCCCCTATTGAATTTCCCATTCAAAAACATTGCCAAAAATGATCACTATTTCTTGCCAAAAAGTCTCTGTCAAACTCAGGGAGTTACACTCTAATGGATGTAGTCGAAAATAATTGTTTTCATTATATGCAGTAGTCCTACGTGTATATTAAACAAAGAGATTAGGTTTTCAGCTTAGCAGATCAAACAGTTTTCTAATTTGATATTATAATCCAACCGCACACAAACGCTTTGAATAATAATAGGAGTAGCAAATCGCAAAAAGTAAACACTTTTACATGTAAAAATACATGTATTTACTTACACATGGGGAGGTAATTCGTACAAATTAACCCCTCTATATTGCTCGATTGTTTCGCTTGTGTATATTTTCAAATTCTTGTAGGGGTTCACCGATATAACCACATTTCCAATATAGGTCTAAGAATAGCAAGAATTCAATATTATTATTGAAGTTTTATAGTTTCACAACGGGGTATCGGCGCATAAAAATGGAAGGTAAATATCTATGGATATATCCCTGAAATGTTGCAAATTAAATGCCACAATGTCGTAGGGATTATAATATTTACGTGCTTAATTAGTTATTTCATCAACAAGCTCAAGTATGCGATATATTCGCAAATTAACTTGTTAGATCATTCTGTTGACAATTTCAAAACAGAGTTTGTTACAAAGGCTATTAAAATGCCTTCCTTTCATCTTAAATTCATATCTGATAATTATATTTATATATACTTTTTATATATCCACGAATCGACTGAATGGCTAAAACGAAAGCGATAAACTTAGCTGTGTCTTTGTCTTTACAAGAGTTTGACATTATTATTAAATCGTTAGCAAGTATTTACTGTAAAAATTCCTGCCTAAACTGGATCAGGTTGCAAAATTTCACTACATTATTTCTATAAATACTTACATATATTAAATCAGCCTGGTATCGTTTTCGTAAATTCTCTAAAAAAGCTTCTTGACTTTTGAAATCTTCCAACAGCACGAAGTCTTGAACTCCGACTCTATCTCGGGCATGAAGTTGATTCTCCATATGTCTTGTGAAGTCTGGCTTGAACTCCGGAAAGCTTTGAAAAGTCGTCCAAAATTTACAATTTTAAAGCAAAATTTAGACCGTAGCTCCTGGATCACACAGCAAGCATGTAGTTTGTTTAAGTAGACGGTGTATTAATTAAATTTTCAACATAACTTGCTTGTTGTAATTGCCAACTGGGAAGGCAATTATGTTGTATTGTGAAGGACTTTGTGTATACTAGTAATTATTTTTATATTTTCATATTTCATGACAGGATGGCGGGTGTATTTCCGGCCTTCATTTCCGGGATGTCATATCCGGCTTTGACGTGTCAAATGTATTGTGTTAAGGTGACTCAACACCGTTTCCCGAAATATTTTTGGTAAACTGTTACTGTAAAGACCATGTCAAGACGTCCGTTCTGCGCATCAGTTCTGCTCATATTGAACAAAGGGGACCCACAGAAATAAACATTGCCCAAATTTTGCATCTTTCGAACTTTTAATTTATGAATCGAAACGTACTCTAGTGGTCTCTAGTTTATATTCATTTACAATAGCGAACCACTGATCTAATAGTAGATCAATGTAGCGAACCAGAAAAGTGTTAGATATTCAGTTAGTATGAAAATGCTGTGCTGAGTGGTTATATTACTACCTTAAAAAACAAGCAGAAACTCGACGTTTCGAGCGAAGGCCCTTCGTCAAGAGTTAGTAGTATGTCTTATTTTACAAATATAGCAATTCAAAATGTAAACAATGGATTTGTTTACTTGACGTGGTCTTCAAACCATGTCACAGAATGTCAAGTCCGTAATGTAAACAAATCCTTTGTTTACATTTTGAACTGCTATATTTTTAAGATAAGACATACTAACTGAATATCTAACACTTTTCTGGTTCGCAATTGTAAATAAATATATATAAACTAGAGTACGTTTCAATTCAAAAAAGTTCGAAAGACGCAAATGTTTATATCTGTGGGTCCCCCTTTCTTATGAACAGAACTGATGCGCAGAACGGACTTGGCATGGTCTAAGGGACCTGTTATCATTTATGTCATTTATGGTGGGGTGGGGGCACCGAAAAGAAATGTTTTTCTTGGTAGCATGCTTGCTGATCTGACCGTTAAAAATAAAAACAATTTTTTATTCAACCTCTAATATCAATTAAGAAATAAATACCCACCCCTTGCCAAAAACTTTACATCGTTCGCCACTTCTGTGAGACTGTGACATGAGTTTGATAACTGCTTGTGCAATTTTCTGCACATGTACTAGTGTAGACACTATTTACTTAATTCCTGACAAATCGGAAAATGATCAAGATAGTGACTCCGATTCATTCACATATGACTCTTGTATTGACATATGACATTGCTTTCTAGCCTTCAATATTTGAGTGAGTCATGCTTTCAAAATGAAAATACATTTTTATTATCCAACCCTTGAATACATCAACAAAAGTTGCAACAAAATTTTGAGGCTTATTTTCTCAATTTGTTATTTCCGAATTTGTTTTTATAATAGTAGTTTCAAAAGATATTTGGAGATATTAAATTATTAATTTTCCCGCAACCCTTATTTTTCGAGCCGGGAAAAGTTGGCTTCGGTGTCAGAGGCACAATATTTTGGTTAATGTACTAAGTATGTTACCGTACTTGACTTGCTGAATTATCAATATTAGCATGCTTCCGTCTAAGCACGTCCAAACGATCGGAGGAGACGATTGAAAGAAAATCAATTGAAATTTTACGCGACAAAAATAAAATGGAAGCACCAACCTAATTTGAAATTCAAGATGGCGGCCGAAAAGGTCTCAAAAAATATAGAAGGAGTTTGGTCCTTTCTGAAGGATTCTTTTGGCGATATATTTGAAAACGCTACCCAGTTGTGGAGCATAAGCGATTGGCAAGTCCGTGTCTGCTTTATACTTGCAGTAATGCTGTTATTAAATGTAATTTTAATCGGAATTGCCTGGCATATTTACGGTGGAGTGATATCACAAATGTACAGTACAAAAGCGAAACGGAAAAGCTCCAGTTCGCTACGAACAGTGAGTGAAGAAAGTGGAGAGGACTTGAGGAAAAAAACTGATTGAGACAACTATCTGATATCAACAAATATCTTAGCAGACCATAAAATCGAGGTTCAGGTTACTGTATTAACTGGGTTAAAAGAAAGAGCTTTGTCCAAATAAGAATGACAAACCGACATCGAAATACCTCAAAGGTGAACCAGAGGTTGCAGGAACTTTCAAGACGAAAATACCTAGCACAGGTTTAAAGACAGGAACTTAAGATTAAACATAGAGCTGTAAATAAATTATTAAAAATGAATTGAAAAAATCAGTTGTGTACTTGTGTATTAAATTACAGGGTGGCTCGCTGGGCTTGAGCCCCACCAATAATTTTTTCCGTAGTTTATAGTTTCTTAATTTCGAATATATTTTAGTTGTGTTCAGTACAAATGTTTGGCCAAAATTAAATAACTTAGACACAAAAAAGTATCTACTATTTTCCGATAACCGTTAAATTTAGAAGCATTTGCGGCCATTTCGGAGGCCTAAATTTCAAAATGTTCCCAGGGGCATAACCCCGGACACCCCAAGCGGCCTCGCACCTTCGGCGCTCGCGTAAGCCCCACCAATCCCCAAAACGTTCCTCGGTCCCTGATAGACCATACCATGCATTTCTTAATAAAACATGGCGTTGCATCTTATGTGTAATGTTGGGTTATGTAGGAACATATTTCTTTTTTGATTGGCTTTCTGAAACAACAGTGATTATGACTCGTATTTTTAGAAAGATTATTTCTACACTTATTGACTAATATAGCGTCTTTTAATGTCATAATGAACCAACCACAAAGCCTGTTCACATATAGGGTACGGCCCAACATACTTTCCTGCCACTTCGTCTTAAGCCCGTGAGTTTGACAAATGCAACAGCAACTTCATGACGTACTCTATGACCTCAGATATAGTTGTTCAAACTGTTACGTTATTTACATCATTCTCACGACTCATAACCACGCCAAACGTTCGAAGTCGTGCGGGATGTTTCATGAGTACTGAATAAAAAAATAATAATTCACACAGTATAAAACAGGAAACAAAACTGAATACTACAGGTGGTGTATAAGTTACGTCACGGTCGCCATGTTGGATGACATTGACAAAGGATTTTGCTGGTTTGCAATCAGCAAAATCTCTTTGTCCTTATGGGAGTGGTTGCACATCACCTAGCTAGCTATACAGGTTGCGGACTATACCGTTGAAGTGGAAACGATCTTGATTGCATTACAAGACGAGCTATTATAATATAGCAAAAAATGGATTATATCAATAATTTAATATTCATACTTTGTATCACAATAAATAATATAAATATTTGTCTCTGCTTACAGCCATAATCTGCTTTATATGCACGTTTATATATTCGTGCTGTGAGCTGTCAAATTTTGGCTGTATGTGCATTACACTGTATAAATTTACATAAAATGCTCTATAATTTACATTTGTTACTCTCTTTTCGTTTCTTTTGAAACACTCGGGGAACACCTACGGCGCCTTTTGTTTTCGGAATTTTCAGATTTCGATTTTCGTTTCATATTTCGATGACTTTATCATTCCATAGTCTATCAAGATATGACAGTCTGGAAACTAAACAGAACTCGTTGCATTGTGTTATGTTTTCGTCTTTTGCAAAATTTGTTAATCTGTGCACGATCACGGTGATTGAGATCATTGTATTTTCGTATAACGGAACAATAGTCCAATAGGGATAGGCGGATAGTTGAGATGAAACGTGCATAATATTTAATGAAGTTGAGACAAAGGATTCGTGCACGGTGAGATACAGTAACTCAGTGGCGTGCTGGCAGGGGGGCGGGGGGCCACGCCCCCCCCCCCAACTGGCAATTCTTGGGGGGCGCTAAAATGAAAAAGGGGCGCCGATCCCGTGCCGAATTTCGAAAGTGGGTGGGAAAAAACGCATTAGAAAAAATATAGTAACTTCCGCCAAGAAAAGATCTGTTTATAGGCTTATCAAACATACTTAGGCCGTTAGGCGACAAAGTGATATAATAAATTCACGGTGGCCGTAGAAGACACGAAATTCGGCAAGGATCGAATAACTTTCGGTCATTAGTTCGGAATATCACGAAACTTCCTCACAGGATGGAATTTGACATTTCTGAAAATCCTATGTTTTTTGTTTTTCGATATTGTTACATTTTGGCGGGAAAATGACGTTCCAACTTTGGCGCCAAAAAAATAAACAGCAGCTAAGAACATGCCAGTAAATTTTTTGAAGAGATTGTC